GTGATGTTTTTAGAGGGAAGCTCTCCTTTAGTTCCCACGATGTTCTTCTTAAAAGCTGAGAAAACAACAGACACCACTACGCCGCAAGTGTTCTGCATGTTGCTTTGAGAACATCCTTCCTTGGCCATCACATTACATCGTGGAACGTTGTGGGAACGTTTTTCTGACCGTGATAACCTCCCTAGACCATTGCAGGCAGAATGTTCCACAATGCTTCTTAATGCATCACATTACAGGAATATTTTATATAAACAACAGTTCATCTGGAGAACGTTCTTTGAACACTTCTTTAGAGACTGTTCTTCCTTCGTGTGGTTCTGACAACATCCTCCAAACATCCTCTGAATGCTGCAGCTTGCGGGAACATTATTTGAAAAGATAACTATCCCTAAACCGTTCCTTGAACATGAGATTCAAACTTGTAAGAGATGTGAGAACATATTTAGCTGGGTAAAATATACAGGGAATTTTTACAAATCCAACCAGTGTCTTAACTTTTTTGACTTATGGCGAAAACAACAGCATAAACTGGGTCTAGTTTCAGCCTTTCTAGTGTTCTGTTTGTTCGTATTTACCCTCTACACTTATTAAATGGTTGCCCAAAAGTGACTGTCCAAGATTCACATGGGTAGAAGTCGTATAAAGAGCAAACATGTGAGCTTGTGGCTTCTCCAAGAGGATAAACCATGACAGCAAGCTGGAAACCAGTGAACAACTACAGCATCTTATACGCTGATGCACCTCTAATCTGACAATATCAGAAACACAGTCATGCATTACTCACAGGAGACTCTTCTATCTTTGATACTCGAGTTGAATTTAGCCGCCGACTCTTGTTTTGTTGTCAAAGATCTCATTGGTTCTTCCAGCAGCCACTTGTTGCTTTCATCCCACTCGTGTCCTCGGCTTCAGAGGTCAAACTCTGGTTGTGAAAGATACCCAGTAACATTTGACGCAACCAAGAATAGGACATGACCCGAAGCAAAAGCTACTCTTACGCGTTTCTGCAACGTCGTTACATCATATTGAGCCTTTAAAACCACGACTCATTGAGTTAACAGTAACGACGTCGCAGCTCACAGAGACGCCGTCTCAAATCGAGTTTGTCTCAAGTACTTGGTGGATTCTGCACCAAAGTCCATCCTCTAAGTGGAGAGTTTCCTGTGAGAAAGGGCCTTTTTATCTCCTCCAGCAATGCAGGATGCTGTTTGATGGAGTAGGTGTTATTCTGCGTGTTGTAGGTGTTGCTGTTCGCTGCCTGAAATAGGCAGATTTGATTTCTATTTCGAGCAAAGTTTCACAACTGGTAAAAGGGCGACAAACTGTTACCATTTCAAACTTGTTGTGAGAAAACGTGTTCGCGTCTGACTTTCCCAATCTTCTCAATACCGTGGGCCGAAGCGTTCCACAACCGAAACAACAATAAACAAATTCTGAGTAAGAGCATCAGAAAAATTTCCAACTTAGACGGTTTCTTCGACTAAAAATCCCTCAGTTGCTTTATGTAAGATCTCGTAATGGGGGAAGAAACTTTACCAAATCAAACACTAACCAATGCAGATGATGCAAATCTCCTGCCGAGTGCTTCTGCAAACAACACCGACACCCAACATGCTACCCAAGTTGGCAAAAATAACCACCAAGACCAACCAACCAGGGAGACATTCATTCACTCTCTCAACCAGATCTTAGATGTTGCCATCAAACCAAGGTTTTGAGGGACTTTTTGGGGAATTTACCCATAAAGAAAATGACAGAAACACACAGACAAGATGAAAACATGCAGGCTCAGGAACTTACATGATACTCCTTTGTTCCCGAATACACATCCTGGTGCTCGGCTTGGAGCTCCGCGCAAATGACTTCGTCTTCCTCAGCGACGGAGCGGGCACGTCGGCGGACATGACAGCGGCAGCACGGTGCAGTTCACCACCATACTTTTTAACCACGTGTAGGTACGGTCGAATGTGTTTAAGGCAGACGGATCGATTTCGCAGGTTTCAGATCAGAAGAGCGATCGGATGTATAAGGAGAGCAACAAGAGTGCAAATTGAATGAAAGGAACGGTCCGAGTAGAGGTGCAGAATGTGGTTGTAAATCAAAAATAGAATAAAGCAAAGATGTGGCTAGACGAGGAGATAGAGCGATCGGTTGTGTCGATTAGGAAGTCTGCTGGTGGTCTGAAGCCCTGACACTCCGCCAGGCGCTTCCTGAAGGGGGCCTCCTCCTCCAGCCTCGGCTTCTGATTGGTCGACGGGCTGCGGTGTGTTCCTTCCTGCTTCCTCAGAGGTGGTAAGCGATTGGCCGCCGGATGCAGCCTACGCACACACACACACACCTCATACACTCGGACAGCTGAGAAAGAAGCCGGGGACTTTCCATCTCGTAGGGCTGGAACAATTCAGAGGTCAAGATCGGACACACGCATGAAAACACACAAGCAGGCGTCTACAAACACAACCTGAAATGAAACCGATCTGGTCTGAGGTTGCAGGTGAACTTTCATGCTACTGTCCCGTCCGTCGTGTTTGAAGCGTTTAACGAAAAAAAAGAACACAGGAACTTTCGTGCGTCTAAGAAGATGTAGACTTTAACCCCCGCACTAGTCTGGATTACATCAGCTACAAAAAATAAAAATTCTAGATGTTATCAGAGCCTCGGACAGTTAAGAACAACTTTCCTGTAATGTGACAAAGGGGGAACTTTTGAATGTTCTGGGGATGTTCTTGAGGACATTCCCACAACGCCCCATGATAAAAGAAAGAACGTTCTTAAACCAATATTCAAAAAATGTTTAAGATGTTGTCGAGACCTCAGATGACAGAATGTGTTTTAATGTTCCTGTAATCTAATATATTAAAAGGTAGAACGTTATACTTTTTCGTTGAGGGAACACATTGTAGAACGTTAACGCAACGGAAGAATGTTTTCAATACAACTTTAAAAAAAAATGTTGAGGATGTTATGAAGACCTCAGGTGACAGAACGTTCTTTAGAAAAAGTTCCTGCACTGCCATATGCTAACAAACATTCTAGCGGCAATGTAACGAAGACGTTTTAGGGATTTTATTGATGGAATCTATAAAACGTTCTCGCAATGTTCCACAGTGGTACTTGATATCTCCTAAACCTTCTCAGTTTAAGTTTTGAGCTTGAGCAGAACGGTCCAACCGTGTTATGGCCAAACACTTTTAGAAGATCTTTAGTTATCCTGCCTTTAAAAAGGAACAAATTCCCGCTGAAAATACTACCATAGCTTTGCAAAACTTTCCCAGAATGCTTTTGGAACAAGAAGATTCAACCTGGAACCAGCTGACGGGGAACGTTCCCACAACTCTGGATTACATTACCTGCAAGAAAATGTTTGGATCAAATGTTTAAAGTGGCTATTTTAAGAACATTATCATTTCCAGCAATGTTCTTGTACAGTTACTATGATGTTTCATTAGCAAGAGGACAGATAAAGTTCCATGATTACAAAGCAGGTTTTCAAACCAACATTCAGAAAACGTATTTCCAGATGTTATCGAGGTCTCAGATGATTTTCGTAAAACTTTCCTGTCGTGATAAATAAAGGTGGAACATTCTGCCTGCGATGTTCTGATGATGTTTTAGGCACGATGTCTGGAAAACACTCATCTATGAAACGTTCCCTCAATGTTCCAAGTCAGCTGATTGGAGTTGATTATATCTTGAAGTGAACATGTGGTAGTGTGTCTACGTCTCAACTCACTCTTGAGCTTGTCCTGGGTCAGTTTCTGTCTTTTTCCCTTCGTATATTTATCGTTTTCTTACATTTTGGACAATTTTTCAGTGTTTCTGTCTTTGCTGTTGCATCCTGAGCTTTTCTACAACTCCTCCCTCCTTATAGAGTCATTCACACCTTAAAGAAGTCAGACAGAAGATCTAGAGCTACTAAAAGTTGCCTTCAACTTTAAAGCATCACTGAAAGGAAACCGCTGGGATTTCTTGGGTTTCTCTCCATAATACAACATTCTGTTGTCTTGACTTAAACTGAAGTTTCTTGGCACTTTATAAATAAAACTGAATCCCTCTGTGGTCCGTTGTTTGACAGGTTGCTATTTTCAATTAAGAAGCCATAAGTCTCTCCACTGATCCAGTAGCACAAAGTCTAATTTCGGGTGCCAGACCTCTAAACCACCGTCAGCAGCAGCAGCTCAGACTGCGAGGTGTTGAAAGTCGGCGCGCAGAAGTTAGAATTTAAACCCACTAAGGAGCAGTTTCTCCTGCTGCTGACGTTTAAATGCACTGTCAGGTTCAAGACTAAAGTTCAGCAGAGAGTGTGTCACATAAAGTAGACTGGAAGATCAGGACGGAGGGAGAAAATGCAGCCTCAGAGAAAGTTTCGACTCTTCTGTCTGCAGGCTCATTATTCAGTAGTTTATCTGAACACAACTCACGGATGTGACCATCTTTATTATGTTTATTAAGCTCTCTAAGATTAGAAATTGATGTTGAGATACTTAAATGCTAGATAGAGGAATTTACTGGAATCTCCAACATGCACGTGTCCAACAAACTCAATGTGGATGCCAAGATATTCAGTTTTTATCTCGTCAGTGGTGCAAATCACTGATGTTTGGAAGCTCAAGTTTAATAACCAACCAGCTGTGTCTTGTGTTTGAGAAACCTTATATACTATTTACAAGAAGCTTAAAAAAGGACTATTTAAGATTATTTTAGCCTGCCACTTTTCCCATTAATGTGACCTTTGTGACCTCTGGGTTGACATGATATTGACCTTCCTCTATCCAGCATCTTTAGGGCTATAAACAGGTATCAACTCTGTAGCAACCACAGGATGAACACGAATTTCCATGTGAAGCAGTGGTGGAAACACAGGGTGGTTTTTGATGTGGTTTCAAGGGAGAATTTCTGTTTAGTTCGGGTTTACTATTGAATGTGGATATTGTGGCTCTATGGGTTGAACTCTTAACCTTCGTCGTAAAGACTCGGGGAAACGATGAGTCACGCAAAACAGCGAGTGAATGGCGTTTGTTGGAGCAGTTCTCAAGTTGGACTGAATGTTAAATGCAAAACATTGTAGTCGAGCTGTGATCATGATAAAAAAAACTCAACCTAAACAGAAAATAAGTTGTAAAAGAGATGAGGGCTTGAATGGCAGGTGCCCTAACAACAAACAACAAAACAAAAATGGCGACAACTCCTCACACGATGGTCGCCACTGGACTGGACGTTATGCAAACTGCATCAGGATGTTTTCCCTGAATTCCTGCCAGGTGACGTGATGAATTCTTCCATGCATGCCAGTTTGGTTGGATGTGTTGGACAGCTTCATACTGGGGAGGCAGCAGCTCAGCAGATAACAGTTCAGTTGTTGCAAGAGTAGGATGACGAGATACAACCAAGTAGCTTTACTTGGCCGATCTTGATGTTCCAATAGATTTAGGGGAGGCGAAACACTTTCTCTTGTACGTCTATGTTTATTTATGTGATTCATTAGTTGTAGCTCCACAGCTGGGATTAGTCTCATCCACGGACTGATGCAGATTTTCCAAGTGTCTAGTGTTGAGCTCAGAAGCACCACCAGTTTCTTGTCTTCCTCGTATATCAGCGTTTCTTCTTTGGCCTCCAAGAAGTTCTAATAAATACAGCTGATCACAAACTGAAATGAGCTACTGTTGTCCTCTTAATGTAAATAAACCGACATGCACAAATAACTCTAATATAATGAATCTGTCAGTGATTAGACCAGCCAGCGTTTGATCTGGATGGAGCAGAGTCAGCAAAATGACTCCAGATGGCTAATTTCTATGTTTCCTTTGATTGATAATGACCATAAATACTGTTCACACGCGGTGCAACTTCTTGTATCCTCTAATCTACACAAAGGAAGTGTAGGATGCAAAGTTTTGACACCAAATGACCAGAGATACCAGAAAAATGAGTTCCTCTAAATGAGGCGACAGAATGACTGCTTCTACTCTACCTGGGCGGGATGACTGTCATCACATCCGAAAGGCCAGGTCCGATCCAGGAAAACCCCCCCGGTTAGCAAGAACCTTAGAGCTACCTTAATGGGAAACGTGCCAGGTTGAGAAAATTCTTCTTTAAAGCCATATCAAAACCCCTCTGAGTTCCACTTCTTCAAATGGAAATTTGTGTGCATCCGGTGGCCACTACAGGGTTGGTACCTTCGAGCTTTAAAGACAACAAATAGAGGAAGCTCAATATCATCCTGATGTTGGCGTAACTTCTTGATTATTAGAGTTTCTTTCATCACAAGGGCATGATGAGGTTCGTTATATCAACATGAATAAGCTGCACATTTCCAAGGTTTTAGCAAACCGATACCTCAAATACAACAAAACCACCAGATAGATTGAGTTTAGAGACAATTTGTTTTTGTTTTTTTTTAAATAAATGAATGAATTCCTGCATGTATGAAATGAATCTAAAGCATCCAGAAGTCCAAGATTTCACTTCAGACACTCGTTTGTGATCCGATTTGTGCAAAAAATTTTGATCATAGTTAGAGAAAGATCTTGGTTCAGGTCGAAGAAGTTTTAAGATCCGTCATTGAAGTAAAAGTATTATCAGCACGTTGTGGAAACACTTCTGTCCTGCATGCAAAACATCAGTAGAATCAGCAAAATGCACCAAAAGTCTCAGCGTCTTTATGTGATTATATGTTTTTGATGTGCATGTTGTGTTTTGCTGCTGTAGATATTTAAGGTGGAGTTAGTTTTAACTATTTTACATACTGACGGGGAGCTTAATCTACAGGAACGCATACAGTTCAGGCTTTGATAAGTTCAGAAAAACAGCACTGTTTGTCTGCTGTGTTGCAGTTTTACATTTCCAGCTAATTTAAGAGTTTTTTAAAAGTATTTTTCACATACTAATACTTTAAAGATTGACTCAAACGCTTCATGTTGTAGTCTATCTAGAAAAATATATTCAAAATCATTAATTTTGGAGGTCGTTGAACAGGAAAGATACAAAAAAGTAAAGTAAAAAGTTGTCAGACTAACGTAGTGGAGTAGAAAAAGTACCCCTGAGATGTAGTGGAGTCCAGTACTTGAGTAAATGTACTTAGTTACATTCCACCACTGGTTTTGGTCACATCAGACATTAAACGTTTCCGTCTTTACAAAACAAGTCCAGGCCCATATTTGGAAAACAACAAACTTTTATTCCTGTTCAAATC